CACGAAGCATAAATGCATTTGTAAACCACTATATAGTGCTATCCATCAGCTACAAGGAAAACAACAATCTCTATCGAACGAACGAAGCCACACTAAGAAACGATGAGCCGACTACTATTACTGCACAACGCTTTAATCCTACTTTCGAACGTCAATGCACGCCATTATTTTTTAAATGAGGTCTGTAAACAATGCTCAAGTTAAGAAGCAAAAACTGTATTGAAAAGCTGATGACTCTTTCTGGAAAACAGATGGTGGTGCTTCCACAATAAATCAGAAACGCATCACAATTCTGTGTGGAAAAATCATTCACAAAGAACATACATAACAACTATTTGTTTTTGACTCATTAATCCGCCAAAGAAATATCTTTTCTGTCAAAATATGTCCTGGCAACATCTTTCAGTGCTTGAATAATGTTAATATGAAGAAAAAAAAGCAAACAACAACTTTATTGAATAGGAAGGATATTCTTTTAGCAAATCGCTCAAGCAACCCGAAAAGAAAATTGGCTTTTCTCCAGCGCGTCCACCCAATCTGACTGGTGCTGTGGTACACTAAGGAGTCGCACCAGTGACCACATGCAGTACAGTAGTCAGCGAACTTGGCTAGATAGCCTTCTAGTGAGTATTGCTTACAGATTTCTCTCTGTTGTTGTTACACTTCGCTACAGGTCACAATTTTCGGCCTATTTCGGAATGCGATAGTGACATTTTTTGTCATTGGCTAAATCATACTTAATGCCTAGCAATTCTGGTTTTAACGTTAGTTGGTGAACCTGCAGATAACCTTTTAAGTGGAACAAAATACGGTAGCCGCAGCTCGATTCTTTTCAGAAAGTGCTTGCTCCTATAACTTGTGAAGCGCGGAGATTCCGCGAGTCATAATGTTCTTTAGCATCCTGTACGTCTGGTCAGATCCAGACTTCAACAGCTAAGATCCTGATGGAAGGGTCAGCATTGAAATCACGAGTTCGGACGAGGTTGCAACGTTAGGAGGAGGATAAAAATAAGTTTTTTCGCTACTGACAAATCACTGAGCGTGCAAAACCAGTTAAGCACACCTACTGCAACACATGCTTTTCCGAAGTCAGCTCATCTTTATTTTCTCTGTAGAGGACCTTCGAATTGCCTAATTCATAACTTCAGAACTGCCTGTATACTTCTTGCTAGCTTTCTAAAGGTTTAATGCTAAAGTTTTGTATTAATTCTTGTGGTGTCTCACGACACTGCATTGTTGGTGGGATATTGTGTAACGGTGACACGCGCTATTTTAGCCACAAAGGTGGTTAAAAGGTTTGAATCCGCTTCCGCACAATCTTCTTATTCGATATTTTTCAAAATGTTTAACCGTCTTCAGTTTTGCCGGGGAATAATCTTGTAATTGCAGTGTTTCACTTTGTATTCAGAATGTGTGCAACGTAGCTAAAGGACTGTTTAAACGAGGACTCCAGAAATATTTGTTGGTACATACACGCTGTAAAGGTTATCGTTTATTCATTCACGAAATCGTGTTACTTTTTTTTGAGTCCATTCATTTAAGAGGACTGGCTGTTGTGAAAGTTACCTTGGATGGGGGTTGTGTTTGGCCAGAGGTTAGTGCCCCTTGTTTTGCTAAACATCTTGCATTACTGCGAAGTTCAAACTATAAATGGTGCTGCAATAGCAGAAGTATTCCCAGTACCCAATGAGCAGCTTCTGCGGTTTACCTGAACCAAGCTTCAAAGACTTAAAAGTTTCAGCACGTTGCATCAAAGGACATGTGTTGAAGGATGCTGTAAAGTTTAAAGCAAAGCTTTACCGCTTAATCATTAGGCAGTGAGCAGGAAACGCATAGGCAAGCTTGAAAATGTCGCAAATGAACCACACGATGTTCAGGAACTCTGGAAAATGAATGTGGTTTCACAGTGAAAGAAGCGTGTTGACGCTTAGTTGCAATACGGCCTATCAGAAATGAAATGTACTAAAATGGTACTACTAATAATGGCAATAAGGCATACCCTGAGGCTTAGATGGGTCTTTGTGCAGATGATCTGTTGGGATCAAAAGATGGGGAATATGTGATCTTATACAATGCAAGAACTTTTTTGTTTAGGACACAACTAATGGAAGACAAGCAAAAAAGTTTTGCAGGACAACTCAAAATTTATAGAACTTTGCATCCCTGAGTGAAGAAAGGTAGAGCTTTTTGAGAACAGGTAACGGAAACAAAAAATAGATATTTTTAGAGATTTGCTGTAGCTATTTCATGCTGTTTTTTAATTTACATTTCTCAGACTTTTCCGGATCTGTTTCTTTTATGGAGCGTAATTGCCAAAAAGTTCCATTCAAAACAATCAGTAGTATTGTAACGGTCTTTTTGCCGGTTACAGGATATTTAGATAAGAATTAGCCTTGTTTCGCCACTTCCCTTCGTTCCCATCGTTTCTTTCTTGACAGCATTTCTGTCGCGCAGAAACTTATTGTCAAATCAGCGCATTGTTGAACTGGCATTTCAAGAACAGTAAGGTTAAAATTCCTTTCTTATTCCGACTTTTCTGTTGTTTGTCACTTTTTAAAATTCGCTACAGTTAAACCTGTTGGTTCCATCTCGTTCGGAAAAGATTTCATTTCTGTGTCAAGACGTGGTTCTGAACCTTTTTCATTTACTCTGTTTCCTTACTTTGCCTTTGCTATAGCCGGACATTCATGAATAACTGTGTAACCTAGCTCTCACTAAATGGTACAGATTTTTGAAGACTGCTGGTGAAATATCAGTATAACAATCTGACAAGTTTTAAACAACAAAATTTATTTCTATTGGTGCCTATTTTGTTTTACTTTTGCTTGATTGAACAGTTTATCGCGATTTTACTCAATTTATCGCATTTTTGCGGTTCGCAGTGACCTGCAGGAGTTAAAAAATATGTTAAAAATTTATTTCTATTTTTGCTTCCTGAGTTTCTGAGTTTAGTT